TATTATTTATGTCATTTATCTTTGTTTCATAGTGTAGGTTCTTCATTTTATTCCGTTTAGTTACATGATTTCTCAATTTGCAGTAAGTTTGCCAATCGGTTGTGCAGCCAGACTTTTTTGCCATTTCTTTTGCCTCATCCCTCTCAACCATACAATTTTTCAATTCCTCATCAATCCACGGTAACAGTTTTCACAGTTATTTTCTTAATGGGTGCATGCTTATTAGTAACTGGGATAAGCAATTTCATAAATGTGTCAAGTGCAGCATCTGATTCCTTCTCATTACACACCACAGACCAACAAATATTATTTACATCAACAACATAGGAATCACTACAAAACGTATTGTATGAACTCTTATACACTATGTTAGGCCCAGCCTTTGGAACTTCGGTTTTCCTAGATATGGCTACTACAGTGAGGGAAAAAAGTATTTGATCCCCTGCTGATTTTGTACGTTTGCCCACTGACAAAGAAATGATCAGTCTATAATTTTAATGGTAGGTTTATTTGAACAGTGAGAGACAGAATAACAACAACAAAAATCCAGAAAAACACATGTCAAAAATGTTATAAATTGATTTGCATTTTAATGAGGGAAATAAGTATTTGGCCCCCTCTCAATCAGAAAGATTTCTGGCTCCCAGAAACGAGCTGAGATTAGGAGCACACTCTTGAAGGGAGTGCTCCTAATCTCAGTTTGTTACCTGTATAAAAGACACCTGTCCACAGAAGCAATCAATCAATCAGATTCCAAACTCTCCACCATGGCCAAGACCAAAGAGCTCTCCAAGGATGTCAGGGACAAGATTATAGACCTACACAAGGCTGGAATGGGCTACAAGACCTTCGCCAAGCAGCTTGGTGAGAAGGTGACAACAGTTGGTGCGATTATTCGCAAATGGAAGTAACACAAAATAACTGTCAATCTCCCTCGGCCATGGGGCTCCATGCAAGATCTCACCTCGTGGAGTTGCAATGATCATGAGAATGGTGAGGAATCAGCCCAGAACTACACGGGAGGATCTTGTCAATGATCTCAAGGCAGCTGGGACCATAGTCACCAAGAAAACAATTGGTAACACACTACGCTGTGAAGGACTGAAATCCTGCAACGCCCGCAAGGTCCCCCTGCTCAAGAAAGCACATATACAGGCCCGTCTGAAGTTTGCCAATGAACATCTGAATGATTCAGTGGAGAACTGGGTGAAAGTGTTGTGGTCAGATGAGACCAAAATCGAGCTCTTTGGCATCAACTCAACTCGCCGTGTTTGGAGGAGGAGGAATGCTGCCTATGACCCCAAGAACACCATCCCCACCGTCAAACATGGAGGTGGAAACATTATGCTTTGGGGGTGTTTTTCAGCTAAGGGGACAGGACAACTTCACCGCATCAAAGGGACGATGGACGGGGCCATGTACCATCAAATCTTGGGTGAAAACCTCCTTCCCTCAGCCAGGGCATTGAAAATGGGTCGTGGATGGGTATTCCAGCATGAAAATGACCCAAAACACACGGCCAAGGCAACAAAGGAGTGGCTCAAGAAGAAGCACATTTAAGGTCCTGGAGTGGCCTAGCCAGTCTCCAGACCTTAATTCCATAGAAAATCTGTGGAGGGAGCTGAAGTTTCGAGTTGCCAAACGTCAGGCTTGAAACCTTAATGACTTGGAGAAGATCTGCAAAGAGGAGTGGGACAAAATCCCTCCTGAGATGTGTGCAAACCTGGTGGCCAACTACAAGAAACGTCTGACCTCTGTGATTGCCAACAAGGGTTTTGCCACCAAGTACTAAGTCGTGTTTTGCAGAGTGTTCAAATACTTATTTCCCTCATTAAAATGCAAATCAATTTATAAAATTTTTGACATGCGTTTTTCAGGATTTTTTTGTTGTTATTCTGTCTCTCACTGTTCAAATAAACCTACCATTAAAATTATAGACTGATCATGTCTTTGTCAGTGGGCAAACGTACAAAATCAGCAGGGGATCAAATACTTTTTTCCCTCACTGTATATTGTGATCACTACTGTACAACCGATGGATTTGGATACTGCTTTCAAGCAAATTTCTGCAGCATTAGTAAAGATGTGATCAATACATGTTGATGATTTCATTCCTATGCTGTTTGTAACCACCCTGGTAGGTTGACTGATAAACTGAACCAGGTTGCAGGCACTAGTTACAGTTTGAAGCTTTTTCTTGAGTGGGCAGCTTGATGAAAGCCAGTCAATATTTAAATCAGAAAGTATTCAGACCACTTGACTTTTTCCACATTATTTTACGTTACAGCCTTATTCTAAAATGGATTAAATTATTTCCTCATCAATCTACAAACAATACCCCATAATGACAAAGAGAAAACAGGTTTTTAGACATTTTGCTATGAGTTTTGAAATTGAGATCAGGTGCATTCTGTTTCCATTGATCATCCTTGAGATGTTTCTACAACTTGATTGGAGTCCACATGTGGTAAATTCAATTGATTGGACATGATTTGGAAAGGCACACAACTGTCTATATAAGGTCCCACAGTTGACAGTGCATGTCAGAGCAAAAACCAAGCCATGAGGTCGAAGGAATTGTCCCTAGAGCTCCGAGACAGGATTGTGTTGAGGCACAGATATGGGGAAGGTTACCAAAACCTTTCTGCAGCATTGAAGGTCCCAAGAACACTGAGCAATCGGGGAAGAAGGGCCTTGGTCAGGGAGGTGACCAATAACCCGATGATCACTCTGACAGAGCTCCAGAGTTCCTCTGTGGAGATGGGAGAACCTTCCAGGACAACCATCTCTGCAGCACTCCACCAATCAGGCCGTTATGGTGGAGTGGCCAGACGGAAGGCACTCCTCAGTAAAAGGCACATAACAGCCCTCTTGGGTTTTGCAAAAAGGCACTAAAAGGACTCTCAGACCATGAGAAAAATGATTCTCTAGTCTGATGAAACCAAGATTGAACTATTTGGCCTGAATGCCCAATGTCACGTCTGGAGGAAACCTGGCACCATCCCTACGGTGAAGCATGGTGGTGGCAGCATCATGCTGTGGGGAGGTTTTTCAGCGGCAGGGACTGGGAGACTAGTCAGGATCGAGGGAAATATGAACGGAGCAAAGTACAGAGAGATCCTTGATGAAAATCTGCTCCACAGCGCTCAGGACCTCAGACTGGGGCGAAGGTTCACCTTCCAACAGGACAACCACCCTAAGCACACAGCCAAGACAACGCAGGAGTGGCTTTGGGACAAGTCTCTGTCCTTGAGTGGCCCAGCCAGAGCCCGGACTTGAACCTGATCGAACATCTCTGGAGAGACCTGAAAATAGCTGTGCAGCGATGCTCCCCATCCAACCTGACAGAGCTTGAGAGGATCTGCAGAGAAGAATGGGAGAAGCTCCCCAAATACAGGTGTGCCAAGCTTGTAGCATCATACCCAAGAAGACTCGGAGGCTGTAATCGCTGCCAAAGGTGCTTCAATAAAGTACTGATTAAAGGGTCTGAATACTTATGTAAATGTGATATTTCCGTTTTTATTTTATTTAAAATTTGCTACATTTTGTAAAAGCTGTTTTGCGTTGTCATTACGGGGTATTGTGTGTAGATTGATGAGGGAAAAAAACGATTTAATCAATTTTAGAATAAGGCTGTAACGTAACAAAATATGGAAAAAGTCAAGGGGTCTGAATACTTTCCGAATGCACTGTACATTATCAAGCATTTCACACATGTTATCCAGATAGCACTTGGTGGTCTATAGCAGCTTCCCACCAGAATGGGCTTTAGGTGAGGCAGATTAACCTGTAACCATATAACTTCAACAGGATTTAACATGAGATCCTCTCTAAGCTTTAAAGGAATGTGGTTCTGAGTGCCATCTGCACTGCTATTTCAGTTATCAGTTATTCTGACTATTCTCTCATCATTTATTTAATTGACTTATATCAGCAATTTTAGGGTTTTCTGTATAGTTGTGTAATGTTGGTGGGGCATATGATTCAGTTTTAATGTTACTGCTGAATCACTATGACAAATATAATCGTTTTTCATAAGTGTATTTTTAACAAAGATATTTACTTTGAACTCCAAAGTGTAGGAATACAGGTGAAATCAGTTACTGACACAGACATGATGGCATAGCAGGAAGATCAGAATGGCGTGAACAAAGAGTTTGTGAGTTCAAATCCCAGGTAAGGACATGTTGAATTATAATAATTACTGTATAAATAAACATGCACAATGTAGTCATGTATGTCAAATATGTAAGTTGAAAACACTGTTTGTTTAAAGCACTGTGTGTTTATCTTAACAACTTATTTTTGTTTGCAGGGCATCACCTGTGAAATCTCATGTTAAAATTTGAATCCACATGTGAAAGGCTTTTGATCACCTGTGAATATCCACATGTGAAACTTCATGTGAAATATCATCACATGTGAAGTGTTCCAAAAACACAGGGTTTCACGTGAAGTTTTCCAAAAACACATGATTTCACATGTGCAAAACATGTGGAAATGTCACGTGAAATAATGAGATTTTCCACATGTGAAACCATGTGTTGTTTCCGGAAGGGGAGTCTTAGGGTAACATGTAATAGTGTCTAACTCTTACCCTTGTCACCTTAATGCCAGGGCAGTTTCCTACTATAGTCAAGGGCAAGGCCACCCTAGACACTACTAATTGCAGAGACAGTAGCTTACCAGTTACGGTTCCTGCAGTCAAACGCAGCCACACCATTTGAATCTGGAGTCCATTTGATACCTGTATAAATAATACAGTCACACCATCCCTACAGTCAGCAAACATCATTGCATCCATTTAAATTCTACAACACTGTTGCAATTTACATCATAAGAGAGCCGACGGTGACATGGTTTCTCTATACTAGTATGTTTTTATGTTTTGCTGTGCTATCTTTTCTGAAACATTCTACTCTAGATTTAAACATTATTCTGTGCTGATTTATGCTATCTGCTGTATGGAGCTGTGGGCCTATTACATTAACATAGTGTTGTCATCTGCCTGGTCCTTTACCAGGGTAGATTCTGAAGAATCCTGAGGAGCTGCCAAAGTACTGCCAGGTGAGAGTGGGGTCTTTCTGGAAGTTATTGATGAACACGTCATTCAGAGCCTCCGACATGTAGATTCCATTGAGGATGTAGGGATCTTTACACAGGGGAGGTAGAGAGAGCAGAAAATGAGTGAGATGGAAAGTGTAACATCACCTATAGCAACTCTGTCACATCTTTCACTTTAAAGGCTGATTACGCCACACCTAATCCAATGTTATTTCATGCGAATCTCTCATTGAATTCAATGTGTGATTTATGTAAAAAATATGTGTTATATTCATATCTAAGTTAGGATTTGCATCAAAGGGCATCAAGTGAGGATTTGGATCCAAGGGCCTGCAAAGGGCCTGTTTCAACTTCACCACACAGCCACCTTTGTTGTAGACATTGGTGGGGACCTGTACGTCACTCTGCATTGTGTTGACTGGGAGGTTGTTGAAATGCTCATTCTCCTCCAGAGGAAACTCCCCACCCAGCTCTATGAAGTTACCATCCTCATCCACTGTGTTCACCAGCATGGAGTTATAGTAGTCAAACTGGAGAAGGACAAAGCACGAGGAAGTTGGAAAAGTTGCATTCAAATTCATCAAGTATGATTGGAAGTCGAGTAAGTTAGCAGTGTATACTCTATCAGAAACGGGCTTCTGCTCATGGCATTGTGTGTTTTTGTGGTCATCAAAATGTGCATGATGGTTAGACATTTCATTATCTCTATTGTGGTACTGTAGAATAGCTTTGTGATACTCATAGTAGCATTACGTTGATAAATCTGAGACCTCATATTCCCACAGACAGATAGAATGACAAACCTGTAGAGTTTTGTTGAACTCGTGGTACAAATCTGCATCCTCCGCAGACTCAGCCAACCGCTGAGGAGAAAATAAAGATATATTAATTCAAATAAGTTTTGCAAACCACAAGCCCAACCACAATACTCATGGTTAATGTTCTGGGGGTGGTTACTCTCATATTGCAAAGAGGGTATGCTATAGCAGGGACATCAACAGATGGCCCAATGGCCAAATCCTGTCTGCGAGGTGATCTCATTTGGAACGCCAAGGTTGTCTTATGTAGTTAAAATGATGTTAAACAACGTGTGTGTGGCTTGTATCTGACCTTTGTACTCACCTTAACGGACTTCATCTTGGACCCCAGCATTCTCTCTATGTCCTCTGAAAATTCCCTCACTTGGGCTCTCCCATCGATGTCCGCTATCTTTATAATGGACTCTACATCTCTGAATTTCTGAAAAGAACAAGGGAGATGTTCAACCATGTCTTTTTAGTATGTCTGATATGTAATATTTGATCATCTGGTTTCCCATTTGTACAGAAAATGAAATAAAGCTCCAAATGCAGCATTGCCATGCTAACTTGTCATGTAGCATTCTCTCTTGGAACTGATTGATTCAGGTATTTTTCCTCTGGCAATTCACAGGTACAATGAGTACACAATGGTCATTATAAAGTCAGGAATATAAGATATTGAGGTAGATAGAGTATATAACATAGACTACATCAGTTAGTATCCTAGCTGCCCTGGGCCACTAGCTGTGCCAAGTATCTCCCTTTCACTCACTCACTCACTGACTGACTGACTGACTGACTGACTGACTGACTGACTGACTGACTGACTGACTGACTGACTGACTGACTGACTGACTGACTGACTGACTGACTGACTCCAACCCAACCCAACCTGGAGACAGAGCTGGCGGGTGGACACAAAACAATTAGGCTTCCTCAAAGGTTCTTTGGGAAGGGTGATGGTTCTATGTGGAACCATACTGACCCAAATAACCCTTTGAGCCCTTCAATGGTTCTTTGTAGTTCAAGAAATGGTTATTTCCTCTTTTAGTGATAATTAAAATGTAGGGACGGCGGCTCATTCAAATATTTTGGGGCATGGTTTGGTCACAACTCTTTTTGTTCAACCGTGAGTGAGAGTGTCATTAACAGTTGATCTAATCTGTGGTGTTATGCGATTGCATGTTATGTATGACTATGGCCAGTGAGGGTGTCTTGTGAAAGACGTATGGCCTTGTGTCTATACAAAATGGTTGACTAAGTCCGTAGTTCTCAATTCTCTCCTCAGGGTCCCCAGCTGTGCCAGAGCTAGCACACCTGATTCAACTTGTTAATAAACACAATAAAACCTATGGAATTTTAACAATATAATATGGCTATTAATCCAGATTAAAGAACTGTATGGTTCTACAAATAACTTTTGAGATTGAAAAAGGTTCTTTATAGAACCATTGTCCATAGTGGTTATATAAGGTTCTATAAAGAATAATGTATAAATAACCTTTTTGGGTGCTATATAGAACCTTTTATTAATGGTTCTTTATATAAACTTAGGAAAGGGTTCTTTATAGCACCATACAGGTTCCATTTAGAACCTTCAGAAAAAGAACCTTCCGCTATGGTTACCAGTAAAATAAGCCTTGTTTTGCACTATATAGAACCATTTGTTTTTAGTGTGTGGTGTTAGAGGAGAATATGGGGCGCCACAGGAGGTTAGTACATGTGATGAGACAAGGAAAGTATGGGGCAGATGGTGATCAGTGGGATGTTATGGACCATCTCAGGTTGAAATGGCAGAGAATATGTGTGGTTAGTGGGGAATACTATGTTGTGGGTTCAGACACAATACTGCATGTTGTTTTTGTCCTGTGGTTGATTTTAATTCGGTCTCATTCTCGTTTAGTGATCAACCCCCCAAAACACCCATATTTTACCTTTTGCAGAATGTTAGCTCCCGAGTATCTTGTGGTAGCCTCGCGTAGTTGCACTGAAAGGATATTTGCCCAAACTTGGACCCTGCAATAGACAGAGAGAAAGAGAGAGAGAGAGAGAGAGAGAGAGAGAGAGAGAGAGAGAGAGAGAGAGAGAGAGAGAGAGAGAGAGAGAGAGAGAGAGAGAGAGAGAGAGAGAGAGAGAGAGAGAGAGAGAGAGAGAGAGAGAGAGGGATGAAGGATAGTGAGGGATAATAGATAATCTATCATCATGTCCATGACAGAATATAATCATCAAGATTTTAGCCTTGCTGTCTACATGACACTCAAAACCCAGACAGGACCCATGTGCCAAAAAAGACCATGAATATTACAACTGCAATGCCAATTTGTTTAATCTGTCCACGGTTGATGTAGGTCAGTAGAAGGTTCCAGGTGCCCCTCAAACACATGATTCGTTTTTAAGTATAGCCGTGGGATGCTGAAAAAAAATTTTTTTTTTGCCCGCGCTACAGATGGCTATATCGGTCCGCTAATACAGGACTAGTAAAGGCCCAGTGCACTACTTTTGTTTTTTATTAATATTTGTTTTGTATTCTGATTTTTCAGGGGGTGATGCAGCACCCTCAGTACCTCTAATTCCCGCGGCTATGATTTTAAGCCACCTATAGAACTCTCTCTTTATTGGAGCTCTGCATGTCAACAGACAGACTAGCAAAGTGGTGTTGTATGGAAATCAAATAGAATGCTGTGGAATGTTATTTGTTTGCTCCTCATGACCTCATCTGATATTTCTTTATAACTCTTTGTTCTTTTGTCCAGATGTTGTGTAGAATCCTGAGATAGGAATATCAGATTTTACCATGTACCTTTATGAGGGATTGTACAGAACACCTTTCTAAGCCATTGTATTACTGTCACATGAAACAGGGCTCAATCTAGTAAAGGAGCCTCGAATAACCCTTTTGGGGTTCAAAAGATTGCCACTGTGGGGGAACCTTTTCAGGTCAAAAAGGTACCTTGAGGAACCCCTATGAAAAGGTTATTTGAGGAACCCCTGTGACATGATGCATATCTTTTCACAAAAGCATCACAGATTAACGCTTATACACTGAAGACTGGAGGTGTTGCTTATTGGAGGCTTGGCTTTCAGATAGTACATTTTGGCCACCCGTAAGAGTAAATGTCAGTCCTGTTCATCATATTAAGTTTGTACACTAGAAATGTCAATTTTCTTTGAATATTTATGCATATTACATATTCTAATATAATGTTAACTTTTCTGACTACATACAGTAATAGAGTGGTAAATATTCCAACATTGGGATTTGCATAGGCTCTTGAGGAACTCATACACCTCTGTAAGCCTCATGGAAGCTACAAAACGATCAATCTTCTTCTTCTTCTTCTTCTTCTTCTTCTTCTTTGCTATCATGGCGTTCGCACATTTTGTTTGTGCATGCCGCCACCTACTGTGCAGGAGTGTGTGGTCGATCACTTTACATTTTGTGATACAAAAATAAAAAGGAAGGGGTAAAGTGAAAAATTACACCACCAACTAACCCTATACCTATATACCACAACCAAAAAAAACATACCCTATTCCACTACTTTGACCCTTCCTGATCCTACACCAGGTCGATGGCCTGGGAGGACGGGACTCTTTCGTTCAACACACCTTGTTAATATTCTGCAGTAAAACTTTTTACACCCAAGTACTTCTCTGCAGCTGCCACCACAACACCTATTTTCTGTGATTTATGTTCCATTTCTGTGGTACAGTTGATAATCATGGCAATGAATGCTAAGAAGCCAACCTTACTGAAGCACAAATTTGTATCACTCCGTATTGGCTTAGACCTACGACTTACTCACCTTAGCCCATCATCCGCTACTCTCTTCACTGCCTCAGCATACAACACCTTCTGTTCTACTCTGACCCTGGCAACCACAACCGGTCTCTCTTGCACCAGGCACTTCTGATCCCCAGCAACATGGGCACACCCACAATTGACACACACAGTTTTTTCCACGATACTACACATTCCTTTGTCCCATGCCCTCCTGCACACTTCTCACATCTCAGAATCTCCCTCCTGCTGCAACATAACCATAAGCTTGGCATCTGAAAACCCTTAGTGGGTTTCGGCACAAAAGCTCTCACGAGATATCCCAATATGACTTTGTCAGGTAAATACTCTGCTTCAAAACTCAAAAGGACAGACAGTGTCTTCTCAGTTTCACCACGCTCGCCACCGGGTCTGCGTCGCACCAAACGGTGAGTGTCACAATCACAGGCAATCTTCAATTTCAGTTGCTCCACCTCAACACTTAACCCCACCCCAGTAATCGCTCCTTTCAAAGGCACCCTGCTCCGGAGAGTCACAGGTCTTGTCCCGAGGCACGTGACGCATAGCGCCTGCACCCTCTGGATGGAAGAAACACAAGTTCACAAGTTCACTTCAACACAAGTTCACTTCGAGCTACTTTCACTGATTTAACAGTACCCAAATTATTTTCTACCCAGCCTGAGATTACATATGGGTCAGCCAAAAGGCAGGGATCCACTGGGCCAGAATCATCCTTTGCATGACGGTCGGGGAGAGGATCGGACTCTGAGGTCTTCATCACACCTGCCACCACAGGTAATTCATCCTCACTGTCTTCACATTCAATTTCTGAGCCATCAGAAACAGCAGAGTACGGTTTGTACTTGGCACCATTCTTTTTCAACACACATCTTCCCTCTGCACTTGGCTCTTCTCCTTCCTTGCTGTCCATAACCATGTCTATTCGTTCACCACGCTCATGCCGTGCCTTCATCCGCTGTACTGTTTGCAGAACACGCACTGATGGCTTTTTTCCAATACCTAACTTCTGTTCCATAGCCCAATTTACTAGTCTGGCTATCTCCGGCCTCTCCATGCTTGCAAAACATAGGCTACTCTGCATCTGAAAGCACCACCCTGTCAGTGTTCAACCTTAACATGTGATGACAACACAACAGAAAAGATGAACAGAAATTACATTTACTCTCACGGGTGCTTACTGATTAACAGGAGAGTCTTTAGAGGTGAAGTGGGTGAGCTAGCTGGCCCCCTCTGGCCTGACGGGGCACTGGGGCACTGGAACACAGGGGCCAGCAGACTGGGGCCAGACTGGCGGAGGAGTTGGAAGTTAGGCTGGGCTGGAAGAGCTGACATGGTCTCATTAGAAAAGGAGGCCAGCAGACAGACAATAGAGCTGACTGGGGCTGTGCAGCCTAGGACAGGAGCTGGGAGCTAGGAACTGGGCTGGGAGCTACAGGTGTTGCAGCCTGTAGGCTATAGAGCCCACACAGAGATTATGGCACCATGGCTCAGCTCAGGACAAAACTGTATATAGGATCATATATAGGATCAGCTGATGTGGTTAAAGGGTCCCAGCGTGACACATACACACTGTACATTGCTGTTACGCAGAACTATTGTGTATTACATTTGTGCGTTTGTGTTTGCGTGTGTTTGTTTGCATGTTTGCATGCGTGTGTGTGTCTGGCTGTATGAGCAATACCAAAGCAGACTGCTTCAACCTAGGAAAATACATACAATCTGTTAACATACTGTCCCAAATCAAGCAACGCTCATTCACAAAATACAACCACTCCAACTCCTGACTACAGTTAATCCACCATTCCTCTCTAATTCACGATAGCAGTATGTTATATAAACATGGCTATGAAAAGGACAGTGATACAGACCTGGGCAGAAAATAGTTGTATTTTGTAGTTTATTTGAAAAGAACAAACTTTGAAAATGCTCAAGGTAGTTGAATATACTGTAGTTTATATAGAGTTTCAACTAAAAGGCAACTATTTCTATTTGATATTCACATACGAGTCTCAGAAAAACTAAGAATATTTGAAGGTATTTGAATATGTGCAAGTTATTTTAAAACAAACAAAATGTACTTAATGGCTGCCAACTTTTTTATGAAGAACCAAAAACTACAACAGTTAGTTGAATTAGTCTAAAGATATGATCATAAGCACATGGTTTGGAGGATTCTTAGATATTCAACTTAATATAGTTTATAGCTAGAATTAAATACATGAGGGGCATGGAATCCCCTCAACATTATAGACCACTTTTGCAGCTTCAAAATGACATAACATATATTTTCATAATAAGTGAGACATAAGGTAATACAGCAACATGTGTAGTAACTTTGTGATTATTACTATAGCAACATTATTGTTACATAGAACTTAGAAAATTGCTTTACAATTGCATAATAATGGATTTAATATAATTAGCTAAAGCTTTTGAACCCGAACAAACATTTCAGTAAAGGGTGAAAAAAATGTAACTAACCGATGGGATTAGTTTAGAAAATGTATGTTATTTATTTTTGTATAGCATAAGATTAATCAATCAATCAATGTACATGCACAAACATAGATATTGAAACAAACCATTAAAAAAAATTAACCTGCAATAGAGCATGCTAGGAAATATGATAATGATGGGTGTAGTTTTGGTTCAAAAAAACGTGTATGAGTTTCAGGCCCCTGTATTAGGGTAAAACTAGGCCCTCCAAATAAGGCCTTATGAAATACGTATGCACAAAAAAAATGCTGGATTAAAAACAACCCAATTTGGGTAAATATTGGACTGAACACACATTGGGTTATTTTGACCCAGACAGTTGGGTCACTTAGTTGGGTTGTTGGGTTATTGATGCTGGAGGCGTGGTTTAGTAGGGGTGTGGCTTTTAAATAGTTATTTTTGGCCAGCCGTGAGTGTAAATGTAATTCCGGTTCATGTTCTGTTATATTGTCAAAATATTTTAAGGTTCAGGACTGATACTTTTGTAGCTGTTATGAGGCTTACACAGAAGTATGAGTTCCTCAGGTGTCCATGCATATCCCAATGTTGGGAGACTTACCAATTTGTTATAATATTTAAATAAAGTTATCACATTTACATACAAATATGTAATATGCAAAACATATTGAAGGAAAATTCAAATGTGCAGTGTATAAACTTAACAGGAATTACATTTACTCTCACTGGTAGCCAAAAATAACTATCTGAAGGCCAAGCCCCTACTAAGCCATGTCTCCAGTCTTCAAAGAATACAACCCAACTAAAGCTAGCAGCATGGTCAATCTGGAGTCTGCATTGGACGTACAGCATTTACGGGAATGCGGCCTCTGCAGAAGTCAGGGCATTCATATTATTGAACTTCGCGAAGCAGAGCAGAGCTGTTGTGAAAGAAGTTGTCAAGGAAAGGAGTTTGTATTTATACACGACGTACCGCCCCCACCTACCGTCAACCAATCATGTCAATGCGGAGCTATACGGAGCTATACGGAGCTATACGGAGTCCTCCGCATTATACATTTTTGGGGAGGTGCACGGCATTGCTATATGGAGCTTGATTTGGCATCCGCTGAACTCCGGAGGCTCCACAATTGCGTCACGCCCTCCGTATGGAGCCTCCGCACCGTCACTTACAAAGCATAAATCGACTTTAAGTGTGTTCTGTCCACTATTTACCCAACATTTCTTTTTCTTGCAGGGATGGGCAACTGGCGGACCCTTTTGAAGGCTCTCGGATACATTCGGGGTCCCAAATTACTGTTGCGAGGTAGAATAATAGAATACACAAGGTGCAATTTCGAAATTTGGTTGTACATCAACAGTTTTTCTCTTATGTCAGTCACTCATAGTCACTCAATTAGCCCATGTCAGCAAAAAAATTTGATTGGTAAGTTAGTCTAGCGGCCAGCTATCTAAACTTGTAGTAATCAAGGTCGAATTAACCCCGGAGGGCCCCCATTGATTTTGTTAGTCAGTCTCACTCAGATATCATATTAAAAACAGCAAACATTTCTCTCCACCCTGTGGGAAAATGTGTAGAATTGCAGGAAATCAGCTGTAAAACAGGAACATTTTCTCTACATCCCATGGCAAAATGTGTAGAATTGCACGGAATTAACACTAAAACTAAAAATGTGCATGAAATTAGATATGAAATCGAAAAATCTTCTCTTTGCCCCATGGCAAAATGTTTACAATTGCAGCAAACTAGCTATAAAACAGCAGCATTTTCTCTACACACCATGGCACAATGTGTAGAATTGCACAAAATTAACTCTAAAACTGCAGCCCCTCATGATGAGTTCAGATTTTTTGTGGTGAAGACAATAGGATCGAAAATGGATGAATGCAACAACCATTTCTCTGTCACTAACAAATATACTTTTCCGTTATTTATTTTTTTGAATTTTTTTCTACAAGTTCTTTTTTTCATTTCACTTCACCAATTTGGACTATTTTGTGTATGTCCATTACATGAAATCCAAATAAAAATCCATTTCAAATACAGGTTGTAATGCAACAAAATAGGAAAAATGCCAAGGGGGATGAATACTTTTGCAAGGCACTGTATGTACACCTGGGGCAATGGACATTGAGGAGAATGGACATTTACAGAATGTTCAGATAGAAATGTATTGTGTAGATCAAATATGGCTCTCAGAGAGATTGGAATAGTATATGAAATTGTGTGTGCTCTATTCATTCTCTTTCTATCTTCAACATGCAGTTCCAGATACAACCCTGCCATTAGTTGAAGTCACTTCCTGAGATCTGTATTCAAATATTTTGAAAAAGTATTTGCTTTCTCAGATCTGCATTAAATAGTTTTGAAAAGTAGTCACTTTCTGAGATCTGTATTCAAATAGTTGTAGTCACCTCCAAAGTAACTATTGGTTCCACAGGAAAAATAGGTTCTTTCCACAAAGCATAGTTAAAACTATAATTATGCCAGGTCTGCAGTGATAACACCTCGGATCAGACTACCACAGTCCTGCTGAGGCTTCAGGCAGTGATGGACCCAGTGGGGTACAAGTTAACATGCAGGTCTGCTCACAGGAGGTTCCTCTGACAACACACTCCGACCTGCATGACCATCTGTCTACCAGTGTGGTGTGATACCCCTGGATACTGTCCCGGACCAAATTGGTGAGGGCAGTGTCCTGCAGGATAACAGTGGTCAACTGATCATATGACCGGCACTTTGGACCACTTCCTGCACAAACAGCCACTGGCAGTGACTGAACTGGGAATTGGCAGCCTATGGGAGAAATGCTTCTTGGTAAAAAACTAACTTGGTGGGCAAAACCTGTTGCAAGGATGCCATTATGAAGTCTATTGTGTCATCATGGTCAGATGTATTACTGGTTGCAAAAGCAAGACAATGACGTCCTATGCCAAAGGTTGCCTGTTAGTGGGTCAAGTATCTTTTATCTGTAACACAGTGGCTTAAAAACCAATGGAACTGCCGTCAATAATCTGTTGGCAACTTTGAAGAGCGAGACAGCTTTGGGTCAATCAATATGATATTCGGCCTGACTCAAGGATTTAAATGTATGTAAGCTCAGGAGAATATCCTGTGTCCAATGCCAGCCCTGTATTGGCCTACAAATCTAATCTACAGAAACACAGACAAGCACAGAACAGCCAGCTCTCCCCATTGTGCCTTGGGGAAATAGTGATGCATTTTACCACAAAGACAAGGCTAGCCTCGTCCCACATGGGATGAAGGGATATGTAATGTAGTAAACCACGTGTCAAACACTCCATCACATCAGCACACTGAGTGACCTGATGATCGCCCACAGTGACCTGATGATGATGTGTGTTCTCTTCCAGCAAAGGAAAACGGTGGCTGAATTCCACAAGGGGAAAAAATCCTGGCTTTGACGGCGGATGACGAATCACATCACATCAAATCATGTTGTGGAACTGGCCTGACTGACCGCTGGCACTGTCCCCTAATGTGGTGGGATGAGAGATGAGCGTGGACACAGGGCCAGACGGGCTGAGAGCAGAGTGCAGAGTGTGGGACTCAAGCGTGATTAATCTCCCTGGCTCATGGGACCTTTTTAGGTGCTGTGATTTTGGTGACAGTTGGATGTGGTTCAATTATAGCGGAGGGAGTGAAGCAGAGGGAGAGGAGAGAGGAATCAGGGTCAATATGTAATCAGGCCTTGAAACAAACCGAACGGCAGCTGACTGCAGATAATCAACAATAACCAGCCAGCCAGTCAGACAGACCATATTGGAATAGAGATTCAACCTAGACATCCTCCTCCTTATATGCCTTTTAGCAGACACTTTTGTCCCTCTACTATAACTGGGCTGGATTCGGCTGG